TTATTATATTTATTTATTTTATGTTTGCTTACTGTGTCCTAGCTTCTTGTTTTGTTTTGATATGCCAAATAGGCTGCTCATGTGAGCTAGCCCGATCACCAGCACCCCTGAAGCTCCAACATCCTGCCACCAGGTGGCCAGACCTGCCACTAAGTATGTGAGCCCAGGAGTCCACCCACTCCTGTATGTATTCAGCTCAGGTGTCCAGGTAGTCAGCCACCAAGTGTGTGGTGTAGGCTCTCACCTACAGTCCTAGACAGGTATCTGGCTGCAGCAGGAGGTCACACGCTGAGCAAGGCAGGGGCCCGACGGCCACCCTTGAATGTCCGGGAGGAAAGCATGTCCCTATTCCCTAGAGAGCTTAGGTAGATGGGTTTTGCAGCCGGACTATGAGCACCCAGTGCTGTTGGCTGTAAGGACTGGGGGGCACCACTTATTCTTGGGCCCCTGTCACAGGTGGCTAGGTGGTGTGGGTGGAGCCACCAGTCCTCAGGCCCCTGATGTAGGTAGGTGAAGACCCTGCTTAATGGGCAGAGCAGTGTCAAATGTTAGGAACCTGCCACTTCTCAGCTGAAACAGTTGAAGTTAGACTTCAGGTATGTACCCTGTTGTACTGTGGTCATGAGGGCCTATGCTGTTGAAATGGGCCCAAAGTCTATGCAGGGGGAAAGGCACTCAAAGTCCATGGAATTCTTATGTCCGTGCCTAGGCAAAGGAGCAGTGCCTACCCTGAGTTCCTGGCTTAGGGGAGCCAGCAGATTATTTTTTCCCGTTTTTAATTTGTTCACTCTCCAAGGCCAGGAGAATGGCTCAGTGTGCATGACGGGTCCTACTTCTGGCCCAGGGGACTTGGCAATTGCTGAAGCCGGTCACAGACCCAGTGCAGATCAGGGAGTGGGGAGGTAAATGGGAGAGGAGTTTTTCCCAAAGGGGAGTGTTTTTGATCCACGCAGTAGGCCAGATGCAAGTACTTATCTTCGCCGCTCGAGGGCGGCTTCTCACTGGTTCTGGATGGACGAGTAGACTCTCTGCTGTTGGGTCTCTCCCAATATGGAAGATGCCTCCTGAGCGCCGCTGCTTGCGTGCCTCACTGCGTATCACGAGCTGATCCAGCCTGAAGGGCTCAGGCTCTCACCACTTCAGGTCTGGCAATTCCTTGCTGCTTCTGAACCATCTCTCCCACCCCCTGCCACTCAGTCTGATTCCTCAACTTTGCCTTTGATGTTCAGGGCTCCTAGATTGTCATATATAATAGATGGGTTTTTGTTGTAAGAGGGACCACCAGAAGCGTCTGACGACTCCACCATCTGAGCCCTGCCTCTCAGAAACTTGTGTTCGTTAAGCAAAAATTATTTAAGTCTCTATGAAGTATTCCTCATGCAGGAGAACTTTGCCCTGATCTGCAAATTTTTTATTAAATCATAGAGCAATCAAATATTGTGTTATTCTTTTAAATTAATATAAGATTTTATTTTTAACACTGGTATCAGGAAAACCTTGCATATGCACATGAGAATTTAACTTTTCTTTTTCAGTTTTTTATACATAGTACCTGGCCCATAGAAAATTCTGTAAGTATTTATTGACTGCACAAATGAGGCATATGGACTGTACCATAGGGAATCAGGAGAGATGACTGTGGAGTGGTGTAGATAGGAAGAAGTGAGAATATCGAAGTTGAGCTTATACAGTTGGGAGGAGGGTAGGGCATAATCTAGGCCTTAAATAATGGGGAGCGTATTTGGGAGGGTGTAGCTTGAGCAAGAAGCAGCCCTGGTGGCTCAATGGTTAAGCTCTAAACTGCTAACCAAAAGGTGGACAATTTGAGCCTACCAGCTGTTCTGCGGAAGAAAGATATAGCAGTGTGCTTCTTTAAAGATTTACAGCCTTGGCGAGATGGGAAGGCAGAGGGGGTCAGGAGCTGGTTGAATGGACACGAGAAATCCAGGGCGGAAAGCAGGAGTATGCTATTGCAGTGTAGGGAGAGCAACTAGGGTCACATAACTATGTATAAATTTTTGTATGAGAGACTAACTTGAATTGTAAACTTTCACTTAAAGCACAACAATAAAAAAGATTTACAGCCTTGGAAACTCTACGGGGGCAATTCTACTCTGTCCTGTGGGGTCACTATGAACCAGAAATATGCATACGTTCTGTGGGTAGTTAAAAGATTTTAGGTAAGAGAGCAGTGAGTAATAATGTTGAAATATTGCAGCACTGGATTTTTCAGGGTTATAAATGTCATGGGAAAGAACTTGGACTTTATTTGTGGTGAATGTGGAGCCACTGAAAGTTTTTTTTATCAGTGGAATGACATGATAAACCAATGTCACAAATCCTTAAAGCTAAGGATTGGGTCCCACAGACTTTCTTCTTTTCTTTTTAATAATATTTTATTGTGTTTTCGATGAAAGTTTACACAGCAAATTAGGTTCTCATTTGACAGTTCCTGCACAGATTTTTCAGTGACATTAGTTACACTTTTCACAATGTGTCAACGTTCTCTTTAATTGCATTCTAGTTGTTCCGTTTCCAGTACTCTATTCTTTTCTTCTTTATATTTACCCTCTTTTCTCCTATCTTTTTCCATTTTTTATTCCATCTCAGTGTTCCTTTCTCTCCATTATTTTGGTCTAGTGGTCATGTAAACATATTATACAGACATAATGATACATGTTTTATGCGTAGTCTCTCACCCAACTGAATTTGGTTTCTTGGCCCTTTGTCTTCTACGAAAAACATGGACATAGTATGTGTCACAAAATCATAATAATAGAGCTATACCCTGTGCCTAATTTCAGTACCAAGTAAAATGAGATAATTTGGAGAGACTTATCCCTGGCATAGCAGATTTAATCTAAGACTAAATTATCAGACTAAACTATTGACAGAGTTCTAGTTTTAGCTAGATTTGTGACTAAAGAAAACTAAGGCACTGTGTGCTTAGTTTTTCCCTTGGTCACTCCCTAATGGAAGCTGTGATAAATACAAGATTATGATGTGAAAATCAGTTTGCTGGAATAATGTTATCAGCTTATTTATTTTTGGTAACTAGGAATTTAAAAACTGGTCAGCTCCTGAAAAAGATGCACATGGGTGATTCCTGCCAGGCTTCAGTCTGTCACAAAGCCTATTCTGAAATGGTAAGTGAAGGAGGACCGCTGGGACCACTCTGAGTGAGAGATATAACTTAGTAAGTAGTAAGTAACTACTAGCAAAGAACATCATGGTTGGTAGAGTAGAGGGTCAGTGAAAACAAGGGAACCACTCCATAAAATGGATTGACACAGTAGCTAAAACAGTGGGCTGACAATCATGAAGATGGTGCAGGACCTGCAATATTTTATTGTTATACATAAAGTTTCCGTGAGTCTGAGCCAACTTAACAGCACCTGACAATGGCATCAATTAGCTGACCATCCCTGCTGCCTGTATTTTTCAAGTTTGAATAGCAGATGTTTGTTCTTTCTTGAAGTTTTTGGATGAAGATATAATTGTTGGTATAATGTGATGAGTAAATTTTCTGTCTATAGGACCTAAGGGCATTTATTTCTGTCAGTTTGTGCTGAGAAATAATATGCCCACGGTCAGGTTTGTCTTCCAACCACATTGCCGTAAATTATTTATGATGTGAATGAATACCCTTAGGGAGAATGATTAAATGGTCATGATGTTTTTCTCTTAGGTTTTAGTGTTCCCATACAGAAACAGAAACAGTTTCTTAGCCATTGTGTTAATAGACTTAGCATACAGTCTAGTTTTGACATCTGAACAAATTTAAGGTGGTTGTTCAGGAGTCAGGAGTAACTGTTTGAGTACTGGCTGTTGAAACCAGGAATAGAGGCACTAGCATCAGGCTTAGCACCTGTGTAGATACTCATTTGCCAGGCCTCAGGCTCTGAACGCAAAGAAGGCAGCTTTCCCTAGTCTAACAGGATCTATAGAATTGAACTGAGAAGTTGTGTGATCTTAGGTCAGATAATCTTGAGCCTAACTTCCTTCATCCTTAAGAGGATTAAACTCATCTCTGGAGTTATTAAATTTGCCTATTATGCATTTACATAGCTTTATATCTTTTTTATTATAACATTAATACCTATTTGAAATTAGAAGTTTTAAATAATGCAGAAATGTATTAAGATAGTAGGCAGAAGTCCATCATGAAGCCAATCTCCAGAAATAATAGTTTAGTTCAGAGATCAGCAAACTTTTTCTGTAAAAGGCCAGATAATAAATATTTTTGGTTTTGCAGGCCATACAGTCTCTGTTGCAACTTCTCAACCCTGCCACTGTAGCACAGAACAGACATAGGTGATATATGCGTAAGCAAGTGGCCATGGCTGCATTCTGGTAATACTTTATGGACACTGAAATTTGAATTTCATATTATTTTCAAATGCCAGAAAATATTCTTTTGTTTTTTTCCAACCAATTTAAAAGTGCAAAAACCATTCTTGGCTAGTAGTCCATACAAAGACAGACACTGGGCCATATTTGGCCTGTAGGCCATAGTTTGCCAACCTCTAGTTTAGGATATGACCTTTAACATTTTTAAATGCCTAATTATTTTCCAGTTACAAAAGTCATTTATTCTCATTATAGAAATTCAATCATTTTAGAAATGTATAAAGTAAAAAATTAATGTTATTAATCCTAAGGTAGTCCTATAATGGAGTCCCTGGGTGGTACAAACGGCTAACACCCTCAGCTGCTAATTGAAAGGTTAGAGGTTTGAGTCCACCCAGAGGCCCCTCTGAGGAAAGGCCTGGCAATCTACTTCTGAAAAATCAACCATTGAAAACACTGTGGAGCACAGTTCTACTTTGACCTGTATGGAGTCGCCATGAGTCAGAGTCAACTGAACAGCCACTATAATTACTTTTCCCAACCCCACTCCCAAAGATAACTACTTTTAACAATTTCGGGGATGTGTATACACGCAGGAGCCCTGGTCGTGCAGTATTTGAGAGGTTGGCTGCTAACCAAAAGGTCAGTAGTTCAAATCCACCAGCTGCTCCTTAGAAACCCTATGGGGCAGTTCTGCTTTGTCCTACAGGGTCGCTTTGAGTCAGAATCGACTTGACGGCAGTGGGGTTTTTTTTTTTTTTCCGGTACACACATGATTTCCGCACAGGATAATATTTTTATTAGGAAATGTAATTTTTAAAGCTGTGAGAGATCTTTAACACATTTCCCCACAGGAACAACCGTAGGTGATGGTATCTTCTTTTGCCACTCTTTATCTTAGCTGAGAGTAGCAGTGTCTGGGTCTTAAATAGACTATTGTGGACCGGCCTAAGAATTCAGTCACCACTTCACCATCATCAACTCGTTGCCGTTGAGTCGATTCCAACTCATAGCAACCCTGTAGGACTGCCCCATAGAGTTTCCAAGGAGCACCTGTTGGATTCGAACTTCCAACCTTTTGGTTAGCTGCTGTAGCACTTAACCACTATGCCACCAGGGTTTCCAGTCACCACTTATAAGATTGTTTTTATGGGTAAATGTGTTCTGAATTTTAAAAAAACAATTTATAAATGAATATTTCTAATTTGAGGAACTCCCTCCACATGATGACATGTTCTCTTTCCCTACACCAACATTTCAGCAAATGGATGGCATGAGATGTAGTGTAGATGTCTTAGCTAGATTCATGTCTTACAAGACTGGCTAGAAAACATTGGAACCCAGAAGTCCAGCTTGGTGATAATTTCAACAGGATTAAATCCAGGGCACTTTAGCACCTGTCGATCATTCTGGTAATTCTTAGGTTTTATCTTTGCCAATGCTTTCTCTTTCCCAGCATACTCCTGATGGTTTATTTGGTTATTCATTTTTCCTCCTGAATTAGGGGCTCCTGTTTGTTGTTCTGAGTCACTCTTGTGCCAAAGAGAGTGAGTGGCTGGGAAGCCCTGTGTTTCAGCTGATTGTGATTAACCCCAAGACGACCCTGAGTGTGGATATGATGCTCTACTGTCTTCCTCAAGGGAAGGCTGGCAGGCAAGTATGTGTAACTGCTGTTCAGTGAGTGTAACTGTTTGAAAGGCACTAGTGCAAATACAAAAACCAGGTAATTTTGTGTCATTCAGATGAATGGAAAACATGAAATGCTACAGATCACAGTAAGAATGTTAATCAGTAAGATGAGATTCAGTAGATCTGAGAGTCAAACTCCATATTCCCTATATCTTGATTCCTACCAGTATGGGATTAAGTAGGCATTTTATGTGTATTCAACCCCATTTTTTTCCATAACAGAAACATTTTAAATGCAGAGTAATTAATGTTCCCTACAAGACTGTAAGGAGTCCTGGTGGCATGGTGGTTAAGGACTCAGCTACCAACCAAGAGGTTGGCATTTGGAATGCACCAGCTGCTCCTTGGAAACCCTACGGGGTAGTTCTGCTCTGTCCTGTAGGGTCGCTATAAGTCAAAATCTGTGTTATTTCCATAAAACTTAAGAAAGTTTTAAAAGTACTCTGGGAAGACATCTTTACTTTGAAATCTGACTTGAGATCAGCGTGAGCCTCTATCATCTGAGCAATTGATATTTATCTATTGATAAATATTTTTCTACTCATCTGTTGAGTGATGATAAGATATATGTATTTGTAAATAATACAGTTATTGGCATCCCAAGAGTGTTCTGAGCTGTATAGAGCTTTCAGGTAGTGCTGACATTGTTGGCCAACCATACAACGTCTGAACTTATAATTCCTGAAGACTGCCTTTATTAACATTTGAAATTAGCAACAAGGGTTGAAGATAGACCTAGTAAATCAAAATAAAGTTTTGCTTTAGTAACTCACAAGGATAAGGAGTCTTGATAGTCACAGTGCATATTTCTTTGGACCTTGTACAAAGCTTGTTTCACCAGTGCATGTTCTAAAAGATACTCTCTTTCCCTGTGCACTTGGCCAGCTGTGGGATTTCTTCAGATGTTCTTAGTTTAACAAGAACCTCAAAACTATCATCTGCAATGTCTGCTTACATATAGAATTTGCTTTCTTGAATATGGAGAGAAAACCATAGTCATTGACCTAGACATTGAGGATAAAGATAGCTACTCATCCAAGATTTCCTTTGCCACTTTTCAAACCCATTTGTTCAGCAGACCTTGAAAGCCTACTTGATGCCAAACCTGTAGAAGCACTACTGTTTCTAATCTCATGAAAGTTGGAAAAGTAGTGGCTACTGTTCCGTACAGAAAGTGCCATGAGTGAGGTTTGCACTGTTGGGGAGCACAAAGGATGGAGGGGTGCCATAATTAGCAGTGGAGCATTGCAGGGCGATTGTCAAGGAAACCTCTGGTGGAATTTCAGAGAATGAGTTACGAGTTAGCTATACATAGTTGGGTAGGAGCCAGGGATAAAAAATATTGTTCAGTTCGTTCAGAATATTCATTGAAGGCTGACCTCTGCAAGGCACCAATGATATAGCAGTGAGGAATAATAGCTAATTTTAATTGAGCATGTCCTGTCTGCTAGGTGCTGTGCTAAGCTCTTTATAGGAACCATTTCATTAAACCTTACAACAGTCCTATAAAGTTGGTGCTATTATCGTCATCCCTATTTTACTGATGAAGTTAAATAACTTGCCCGTGGTCACACAACTCTTAAGTTTGTAGAGTTAGAATTCAGACCCAGGTAGCTGAGTGCAGAGTCCCTGTCTTTAAAAGATGACCAGACTACTGCTTCCATGATGCTTACATTTTTGTAGGGCAGGCAGACACCCACCAAATATATAAATAGGGTAATTTCACATAGTGAAAGTATGTAAATAAGGTAATCTCACATATCCATGAAGATAAAAACGGGTAATGTTACAGAGAGAGGGCTCAGTGTGTGTGCTACTTTAGATAGGTGATTAGATCTGACCTTTCTAAGGAGGTGAATGGCCTGAATGATGACAGGAATGCAGCCATACAAGGATCTAGGGATAAAGCCTGCCAGAGACAGAGTAGCAAAAGCAAAGATGCTGAGGCAACAGGGAGCTTGACTAGTTTGAAGACTAGACGGAAGGACAGTGAACTCGAGTGAGAGTGGTAGAGGTACAGAGAGATAGGCAGGGACTGGATAGAGTAAGATTATGTCCAAAACTGCAGCAGACTAGCCAGCAGTCTTCTAACAAGGCATTCATATTTACAGGTATTTTTGTTCTTATTGTTGCTTTGACGCAAGTATGGTTTTGCCCTATTTTAAAGAGAAGTGTGTTTGTTTGTTTTGATATGTGATTTGAATAGTCTCTTCTCTGCTTGATACTAGGTTCCTGGAAGGTGATGTGAAAAATAATTTTGCAGCAGCAGTATTGACTTCTGGAACAATTGCCATTTGGGACTTACTTCTGGGTCATTGCACTGCTCTCCTTCCACCTGTCTCTGACCAAAACTGGTCTTTCGTTAAGTGGTCAGATACCGATTCTTATTTGCTGGCTGGACAGAAAGATGGAAGTATATTTGTATACCGCTGCTTATAAGTTTGGACAAGAAGAAAACACAGTTTTCTGGATATATTTGGCTTCTTCAGTACCTTTTTAGAGTTGTAAGTTTAAAGGAGAATAGCTGAGTGATGTTTAAAGTAACTAGTCTTACTCATTCAGACTCATTTTTTTTTCTGGTGGTGGTGGCCCTACTGATCTTGAATAATCATTATACTTACTTTGCAGGAAGGAGTTTTAGGCTGTTTTTTATAATTCCCCACATTTGCTCTTAAAGATGTATATACAGTAGGTTTAAGCTTCAAATGTTAATAAATATTTATTTTGATACATTCTGCTTGGCATTTTTTAAATAGACATTTTTAGAGCATTTTAGGTTCACGGAAAATACAGAGTTCCCATATACACCTGCCCCCACCCCCCCGCCCCAGTTTCCTCTGTTACTAACATCTTGCATTAATGTGGTATATTTGTTACAACTGATACATTATTATTCACTAAAGTCCATAGTTTACATTAGGGTTCACTGTTTGTGTTGCATAGTTCTTTGGGTTTTGACAAATGCATAACATCCTGCATCCACCATTACAGTATCATATAAAATAGTCTCACTGCCCTAAAAACGCTGATGATCTGCCTGTTCATTTGTTCCCCTCTTCCTGAACCCCTGGAAACTACTGATCTTTTTACTGTCTCTGTAGTTTTGCCTTTTCAAAAATGTCATATAGTTGGAATCATACAGGTACGTATCCTTTTCAGACTGGCTGCTTTCACTGAACAATATGCACTTAAGGTTCTTCCATGTCTTGTCATGACTTGATAGCTCACTTCTTTTTATCACTGAATAATACTCTATTGCATGGATGTACCACAGTTTGTTTATCCATTCACATATTAAAGGACATCTCGGTTACTTCCAGTTTTTGGCAGTTATGAGTAAAGCTCCTGTAAACATTCTTATGCATATTTTTGTATGGGCCTAAGTTTTTAACTCGTTTGGTAAATAACTAGGAGTGCAGTTGCTGGGTCATTGTGGGACTATGTTTAGCTTTGTAAGAAACTGCCAGACTGTCTTCCAAAGTTGTTAGATGCCATCAAGTCACTTTTGACTCATAGCGACCCTATGTACAACAGAACAAAACACTGCCTGGTCCTGTGCCATCCTCACAATCATTGTTATGCTTGAGCCTATTGTTGTAGCCACTGTGTCAATCCATCTTGTTGAGGGTCCTCCTCTTTTTCGCTGGCCATCTGCTTTACCAAGCGTGATGTCCTTCTCCAGGGATTGGTCCCTTCTGATAACATGTCCAAAGTATGTGAGACATAGTCTCGCCATCCTTGCTTCTAAGGAGCATTCTGGTTGTACTTCTTCCAAGACAGATTTGTTTGTTGTTTAGGCAATCCATGGTATATTCAATATTCTTCACCAGCACCACAACTCAAAGGCGTCAATTCTTCTTCAGTCTTCCTTATTCATCATCCAGCTTT